CTTCTCTCCTCTTCTCTCCTCTTCTCTCCTCTTCTCTCCTCTTCTCTCCTCTTCTCTCCTCTTCTCTCCTCTTCTCTCCTCTTCTCTCCTCTCTCTCCTCTCTCCTCTCCTCTTACTTTCATCTATGTATTACAAAAAGGAGCACCATCAAAAAACGGTCTACCTTACTTTTTTGGACATTTATATATTATATGTATAACTGATTTGTTGCGTTTTAGCTCATTTCTTCATGCATGTCCAAGTGCTGTTTTGGAGGTGAATATAATTTCACAAGGGTACCATATTCATGTAAAAAAGGTCAATCCGATGGTTCTTGACTTGGGAGCTTTGGATCAAAACCACGTTAACATAGTTTGCTTTGGGTTCAAGAATTGAGCCCGTCCAAGCAGGTTGCTCAACAAATCTTGAATCTGACCCAAAGGATCAACGCATGTTCTGGATTTCTTCGAAGTCTTGAACATTGAATCCAACAGAACATGCCTTGACTGGTCCCGGCCCACAGGACTTGCATGCATGCATGCATGCATTGATGAATTGAAGTCCTGCGGGAAGAAGCAATGAATGTCTGGAAATGCAAGATCACCAACTTGCCAACTCGTTACGAGATAACATCTTAAGCAAAAGATAAGCGGTTTGCGAAAGGAATTGGCTTGATGTACTTCCCAAAAAACTGTAGAAGAACAACATCACATCTATTGTGACGGCTTTCTTTTGAGATGTATCTTGCATGATAGCGGAACCCTTTTGATATGGTAGCCTCCATCAAAAAAAACAACAATAAAATCAAAAATTTACAAATTGGTGTCTTACACGCTAAACGGGTAGACTTTTTTTGGGGGGAGGATTGCCAAAGTGATAATTGTAATTACAGTACAGTGATGAGTAATTGTATATACTATATATTTATATAAAATAAACATATGCACAGGCATCTGTCGTTTCTGCATCCTCACACCAATTTATGCATCAAACCCTGTCACACGGCGGAGTTCCCTCAAAACAACCAATTGTGTGGACCCATCACCCATCACCCTAAAAAGGTTAAGTTCACTGAAACATAAAATCAAGCGCACCTTGCGGTAGTGATTCAAGATCTCTGCATCGCCTGTGCGTCAAGATTTGTGGGGAATCCTGGTGCTTTCAAACCCCATCTACAGTACCTCGTACACACTGCAGGTTAAAATTCCAAAGAACATTTATTTAACTTACAACTTGGCATCAAATTCAGGTTCCTAGGAGCCTTTCACCAACAAAACATGGCATCTGTAAGGCTAACTTCATGTATCTTCATGTGTTTTGCCGCCTTCTATTTGCCTTGCTGACAGTATGCCAGTATGCTTTTGTGAAGGCTCATGCTGCGATTCTTCAAAAGCCGAACAAGTTTCATGAGCACTCTGACCATGAAAGGACAAATCTAGCCTCCTTGGTCCATTCTGATTTGGAGCTTGGCAACTTGCTTCTTGATGAGCTGCTCCTCCATGAGTGCAATTTCTTCGGGCACTTCTGGTATGACTTGGATCTGGTAGTCATCATTGTCTGGGTCATACTCCACTGAGATTTGTCTGTCTCTTGGTCGGCAAGTCTCAAACTCCTGATGCAAGCGATTGGCAGGAAACCCTCACGGGAACAACTCGCCTGCTTGAGGTGAAAAGGGTAGGGCCACTGAACGGCCGTTGGGCAGTTTTTTAGAGACCTCTTGCCCTAGGGCACATTAAAAAGGCCTCATAGGCGATTCTTGACTGGTGACATTCGTTGACTTTCCGAAAGCTATGATGCATTGCGAGCCTCCTCCAGGTCATCATCCTCCGAAAAGTAGCACTCATCATCGTGGAGAATATGCAAATTTGGCAAGCTTTGGCAAATGGTGAAGAGCATCCCGCAAAAATCCGGTCCCCTCCTTTGACTTGAGCCTCACCTATTGTTTAGTTTGAGGTGGTCCTCAAGGCCTCGAATGATCTTGCGACACGCTGATGCAACAGAAAAATGAGTCACATAATATTGTAAACCAAAGGCAACCAATATATAGAACATGTACCAAAAACTGTTCCGAGTCCTGGCCCGTTGCTGTTCGTCTGTGCATTGTCATGGGCGCGCAAGTGATGTTCTTTGGACTTTTGTTGACTAGTGCTACCTAGAAGGGAATTGCGAGATTGCCCTCAATGTGTTGATACCAAAGGGGTGGACAAGACAAAGCTTTGGTTGTAAGTTGCTGTTGTTGTTGTTGTTGTTGTTGTTGCATTGTTGAAGCATGCTTTGGCATGCTCTCTCCGATGGGTCAGTGTGTGGGTTCGCCCTACCTTGCTGGTGGTTACAGCCTCATCCCAGTAATGACCTTCGAGGGATGAAGCACATCAACCGATACTTTCCAATTGACAGGTCAGAAGTTCAGGAAAACATCAACACCAAAAACACCCACCGGGTCATACATCATCACCATCATCATCAAACAATTCATCGCGCACCTCTCAACAGAAAAGCAAAAACCCAAAAACACACACACGACCTGTAGTGTACCTTCCGCGAAGCTCTGTTCAGGGGTCAGGGCGTTCTTTTGATTCAAAAAGCGCTTGAAGAGCAACCGGAAAACCTCCACACAACACGATTGCTCTGCTGCTTCTGATGTGTGAGAGAACCAGGAAACTAGAAAACATATGAAAACATTGCCGTTGACATGTTCGTGCAATCGGTACAAGAATTCGATTCAGCGTACCCTGTGGGGCTGCTGGTTGCTTGCCCCCCATTTTTGCAACTCACTTACGCCTACACCCCTCACAGGGTTTGAAGTTCCTCGTCATTAACTGTGCTTCGTCAATGAGCTCACTTCGGCCTGTCAGGGTGGGGTGGCGTGGGACTTGCTTGATGTTCGTTGTCCTTCCTGCAGGGATGACTTTGCTTGGTGAATCATCTTGCTTTGGCATGTCAGGGTCGGGGTGGTGTAGGGTTTTGTTGACGTTGGATTTTATTTCCACAGGGAGCCAACCAACCAACCATCCCGCCAGCAAATACTTCATACAACATCCAATCAGCCAAGCTATACAGTATTAATAATTCGACATGTCAGGTTGCACGGTTTCGTCTTTCGTCTGTTTGCTTCCTGGCATCGTTTTAGCTCTTTTCTCCTAGCTTCGGGCATGCATGTCTCCTTGCAACTACAGCAGCTCGGCTCTCATGTAACAGGAAACACGATTAGGATTGGATCGCAGCTTTCTGACTCATTTTTAGAAGTGGCCAGCCCAAATTATGTCAATGTGCTCACTCCACCATGCCCGCCCAACACAAAATATTTTCCGCAAAGGTCACTCACAGCTACCTTGGACTCTCCACGATGGGATGGCTGCATATGCTGCAAGAACTGCTCTTACAACGGCCACAGCACTAACTTCATTAAGTAAATTGTATTGCATCATCGGTAGCACAACAGCCCGCCCGAGAAAAACCAGTTCACAATTTTGGCAAACTGGCTGGGAGAATGTTGACGAGTAGAAGCTGCAACTCCTGGCTTTTAGCCAAGAGCGGCCTTACCTCTTGTCCGAGCTGGTCCAAAAATTGTCCTATGTCCTATCTGCTACAGTAGTCGCTTCGCGACAGTAAGAAAAAATATACGACCCCTCAGGGCAGGCAACCTGAAGCTTTTCACCTGCTCTATCACAGCTGATGTCTTTTCTTGTTTTGCTCTGCCTGCCCTGGTGCTGCTACGCACGCAAGGCCCAAGGTGTCAAGAAGTCATTGGAATGGCGATCCATACCCTTCAACAACTATGAACCAAAAAAGCTAGTCTTCTCAAACTATCTCAAACTAACATCCTAAATCCAAACAAAACTCATGCACACCTGTGCTCACCATTACCGCCAATTTATGTACATGTCCCCTCTTGTTTGCTTCTGTCTTCGCGGTGTTTGGTTCTGCGCTCACTCTCTGTGAATTTACTTAGTTGTCGATCTATATGTGACAATACCACAAGGAAAAACAATAAAAACATGCTGTCCGCTAGTTCAACGTATGGTAGCATGCACTCTGGCTTGCTCATCTGCGCTTGGTCTACACTCATGTCTTGTCAACCTGCCAGCTGGCAGCAATACACTGCACAAAATCAAGGAAAAAAATCAGACTTTGTAGTGGTCTAGAATCCGGACAAAGGAACAGCAAAACTTCTGAAGAAACATTGTATATATTATATATATATGTGTATATAACAAAATTGAGACACCCAAGCAAGTCCACAAACAAATGGAGGAACAATGTATTGAAGCAAAGGCAGAACTGCAACAAAAGGAATTGTGGGCGATCACACATATAAATAATCATTCGGAGATGCCGCATCGCATGCCTAAAGACAGCAGCTGAGCAGCAATGGTGCCCAGCAAAAGACAACGAAAAGGTGGTGTGCATGTTCCAATATGATTGCAAAACAAATCTTTTGCGCCGATTCAGATCAGTTGAATGTGGAAGCAACTACGGCCCAAGCAGTGGCCAAACCAGCCGAGTCAGTAGCTCAAAATTGGGTTAGACACAAGCACCGTCTAACCAAAAATAACAACTCCAGCTTTCCAGAAAAGTAAAAAGCAAATTGTGCAGTGTCCTCTTTGGGGATAGTATTGTGTGGCCCATGTGCACTCAATGCGGGCCACGATGGGCGGAGTGTGGTTCCCCTAATTGAGAGCAAATGGTGCTGCCTTCAGAAGAACTGCTCAAATTGTTTCATTTTAAGCTTCAGGAACTTCAGGACTAAGATCCTATATATGTTGGACCTGCACAGCCGTACAGAACCTACGCCTACGCCAACAAAGCTGAAGGTAAGACATCACCGTCGTCATACATCGCGGGCAGCAAATGTCGAAGAGAAACCATGAAATCTCATCGGAATTAGAGTTCAAATGACGCATTTCGCTCAACCAGGCGCCGTGTCGGGATTGTCTGACTGACACACCAACAAACAACGACATATCACCACGCAGCACTTTGATTGATTGATTGATTTTCGTCAGCCACAACAACCTGGCGCAAAACCGTGTGACCTGTGCGTGCAGCTTTCAACATCGGTCCACAAATAGTCGAACATCTTCGAAGTGAAGTGACTTGCTGCAAAGCAGTCTATCCAACATTGCACAAACCCCAAACCGATCAGCATCAGACCCTTTCCCACCAGCCGCCACCAGCCTTCCTTGATTCAAAAGGGGAGGCCAATGACAAAACGTCGGTGCTGCTGCCACATGTGGACTTAGCGTGTGGAAGCAAAAGCATGTCCACTCAGTGTTCTGCCAGTGTCAGGCACTATGATCTACTCTTGTTTAAGAAGTTCGGCGCATTCATATTTTCCTTGTAAGCAAGGCCTTCAAGCAGCTGGGTTGCCTTTCAGCATCAAGCACTGATATCTTGATTCTGGTATATCCGTTACTGTTAGTCAGCTGTTTGTCTTTTAAGCCTTAACTTATTAAGCCCAGCAACGAGTTGTGACACCATGGAGGCTTGATCGTCGATCGTCTTGATTTTCTTCGACAGCTGGAGCTCCAACTGTTCTTTCACCTGGATGTCCGGAGTCCCTATCTGTCTATATTTGTTTGATTCATGGAATCTACTGTATCTCTCTTTTTCCCGCGAGCTTTGGCGAACCAGGGGCCTAAACGGACCTAGTTCGCCACAAAAGCCATCAAAAAGCCTGAAACATGCACTCCTTGAGCGCGCCTTGCGATAGTGATTCAAGATCTCTGAATCGCCTGCGCGCCACATTTTGTGAGGCTTGCGGCTTGCTCCCAAACTTTCGACCAATGAGAGACCTAACAAAAATTGCAATGCACCTCCCCACACACCCACACACAAAGAACAGTTAAACCAACAGGCAAAACATGTCCAAAGGAAGCAACATTATATGATTACAAGAAGTGTGAAATTGCGTTTGGGGAGCAAAATGGCAAAGCTGAGCAAACACGAATAGCAGTTTGGGGACATCAAATGAATTCAACGCCGCAAATGCACTGGCTACCAGCACATTGCGCACGCGACAACATCAAATTATATATGGCTTGCGGCCTGGGCCTATGCCTTAGCTAGGGGCTACGGGGCCATGTGACTATACCCTGGAATATGTTGTATTCTGATGTATTCTGCATACCTTCCAAACAAATGTAGAAAACGATTCCTGACCTGGTTGGGTTGCTGGCATATTTTCCCTCGACACGGTTTTGTTCTTCTTCTGTGAGCTCCCGTTTGTTTTGCATATTTTTCTAAGGTAGCCTTGGCTAGACTCCAAGCTTCTCCAAAACCGAAGGTCAATGTACAGGTATATAATTGTCAATGTCTTCTTGAGCGAGCTACGTGATCATCATGTTTTGGCTTGGTGCTTTTGGTATCTACATGGCATTGGCTTGGTTTGAAGTGGGCTTGGTTAATCCAAGCTTCCCCAAGACCAAAGGGCAATGTTCAGGTTACTTCCCAGTACTACACTATTGAAACAAACTACGTGAACATCGCTTTTTTTGGGGGGCGTGTTTTTTGCTAAAGCCCAGGCTTCTCTAAAACTAAAGGACAAGGTTCAGGATATTCGTAAATATCTTCCAACGGAGCTCCGTGAACATCGTCGACTTGTTTCGGTGCTTTTGTATCTACGTGACCTTGAATGGAATTGAATTTGTATGAATTTGTTTGGTGCAAACATTGGGTGTTCAAATCCCTGCACCTCTTTGCTTCTGGCTCCTTCTCCCTGCTCCTGGCCTCAGCCTTTGGTCTTCTACAAATCGTTCTGGGCATGGTGAATGTTTATGGTATGTGAAATGTCACAGGCCACTGGAATATACTGTAATGATTTCTGGCCTTGTTGTGCTGGCCCTGGCTTCTGCCTGCGACTGGCCCCAGCCTGGGGTCTTCTACAAATCTTGCGAAACCCTCTTCCAGTTGGTCATTGTTTGGAGATGCTGTTTGTTTTCTTTTATGTTGTCTGGGGTTGATTTTCTCTGGTCCCAATGCCTTCCTAGAATTGAGCAAGCACCGTGATCCTAATCTCTTCCAGTTGGTTGTTATTTTTGGAGATGGGACAGTTCTGCCATTATTCATTGTTTATTGACATCTCTACCCGCTTGATGTTCTCTGCTCCAATAACCAAACTCGAATTGAACAAGCAATGTGATCTGCTATGGAAAAAAAAACTGCAAAATCGTCTATGGTCCCTCCCCATCCCTCCCCTTCAACCTTATTCCTAGGTAATTATTCTGCAAAAGTTATTCCAGCAACCCACGGGGACCTGTGGAACAATAAATTAGTGCAATGGGCTATGTACACACATATATATATATATTATACATATATTCCTTCTATTTCCAGCACTTTCTAGAGTCACTAGAGAATGAGCGCGGAGATCATCTCAGATTCTAGGCTTGGCTTAGACTTAAACACAAACAGAACAAGCGCTGTGTTGAGAACCATGATTTTGGGACAATGAATGCCCCAAGGAATCAAAAACACGGAGAACCACGGGTATCTCACGGGACTCCGGTTCGTTCAGTCACATTCAAGTTCCTTTTTGGCCTTGTGGGCTGCTCACCAAACCCTCTTTCCAGAGCTGACCCCCCCCCCGGGAGTGCACTACAAATTCTCACCATCACCACTGAAATGCTAGGGCCTAACGTTCAGTTCTGCGGTGATCCGCTGAATATGAATAAACGACAAGTTTGGATTATGTGAATCATTCGAATGTCAATCTGTCTGAGTGTCCATTTTCCTGGACGTCTCCCTGAAACTTTATGCGGTAAGCCTTTGTAATATATAAGCCACGCACTATTCGCAAATATTCAAGAAAAAAGATAAAAAAGCTTCAAATCAAGCCTCCTTGGTCAATCCTGACTTGGAGCTGCGCAACTTGCTTGTTGATGAGCTCCGTCTCCATCTGTGCAATTGCTTCGGGCACTTCCGGCTTCACTTGCATCTGGTAGTCGTCATTGTCAGGATCATACACCATTGAGATCTGTCGCTGTCTTGGCCGAGAGATCTCGAAATCCTGGTGCAAGCAGTTCGTGCGCAGGTATCTTCTTGAAAGGTGATTCATAGGTGCTAGGGAGCACCTCCCACCTCCTCCAAGTCGTCATCAGAGAAGCAGCTCTCGTCGTCGCGCAGAATATGAAGATCGGGCAAGCTTTGGCAAACGGCGAACCACATCCCGCAAATAATGCGGGATTTGTCCCCCCCTGACTTATCCCTCTTGAGCCTTAATACAGGCCGGTCAGACTGATTTTGATGGCATCTCAATAATCCACAATACTACACAGCATCAAAAAAGCCATATGGAAGATCTGCCAAAGATTTGAGCAAATGATCACAGAACGTTCGCGTCTGCTTTATCAGCCTTGCAACGTGCAACACAAGCAGGCCACAAGCCGCTACAAAAGCTGCTATTGACTTGCAAAAGGAGCATGTTTGCAAAATAGTGTTGGCTGGCAAGCTTTAAGCTTGCCTGCCTTCCCCTGCCTCAGCAAGCCCAAGAACATGGGAAGGCACTACGACTATGCCACTATGCGGGAGTTGAAGAAAGCACTTCAGACGCCGGTTGCCGGGCCTTCAACCAGCCAAACTCGTGGCAGCACTTTGCCAGTGCATGCATTGAGACAAGGTTGCAGCTGCAGCAGCTAAGCGGAGCTTTCAGCTACTTCAGCTGGCTTTGAGTTCAACACTTTGATGTCTCCGGCAGGATTTCGGCAAAGATGAATTGAAAGCACCACTGTCATCAACACGGCAGGAAAGCACCTTAGTAGATGAAACTTGAAACATTCATGATCGTTCATGTTGGCCGTGGGGGCATGGCTTGCCTATCATGTTTGGGCAAGACCGTAACATACTGTACTTTGGCAGACCCGAACCCTGGACTTCAGGAGCTCTCATTTATAATGCGATTGAAACAGCTCACCCCAAACATCAACAAGGACAATGCTTCCACAACAAGGACAATTCACAATGCTTCCATGTCCTTTAAACACGCAGGCAAAATATGCACGACCTGATGTGTTGCGCTTATAGTATCCAATAGTGAGGTCCAGAATTCCAATCTGAAACTCCAGATGTTCCCTACGTGTGCCTGCCACGGCCATGACAGTTCTTCTTCCATGTATGTCCTGATTCCTTGCGCCCGCCATGGGTTTGGTGCCTAAAAATGTCTGACATTCTCCACCTCTTAGCACTGCTCGGCACACATAGCCATTGATGAAATTTGATGAAATGTTCTTTCCAACACGAAGTGTTTTGTGATAAGCATTCTGGGAATTAGCACTGAATTGGGGTTGTTAACACCTTTCAGTTCCGTGAAGGAGCTGCCGGTTGCTTCATGGGTTTCTTTGTCCTTGGTGTTGTTGCTACGTCTTTCAGGTGCAAGTGAGTCCATGATTCATACTGGGCGAAACTTCAGGCAAAAGTTCAGGACCTTGCGCTTCACGCTTTCAGTTAGATTCTTGTTCCCAAAGAACAACTTCAGATAATGGCAGGAATCGTGGTTGACCGTGTGGCCTGAGTGGTTGAAGCACACTGAGTTCCCACAAAATGACAGCCTAGGCGGCTGGCTTTAAGCCTTGCACAAGTTCCCTCTACAAAAACACTTGCGGATCCAGCGATCCAACCAAAAAGCAAATTGTGCGTCAAGCCCCCAGATGCCTTCCCATGAGGTTTGTGGAAGGTTCAAGGTTCAACAAATGGCGCGGCAGTAGCAACCTAAACCATGTTTGTCGCAAGAGTTGTACGTGAGAAATGCGTTGTTGTATGCTGTCCGATACAAAAAACATATGTTACATATATATATATATATGTATAATATACAATATACAAAGATTGTACGCAAAGACCAAGCCGCCATGTTACATGCAAAGCGGATCACCTAATAGGGTCCCAGAACACTGCACGGATACGCATCGATATACCACGCAAACCATTTTTGTGTCCCAACAAGCTTTCGAATCTTTCGACAAAAAAAATCGGAATGCCATGGAATGCCCCATTCTGCTTCTAGCAGCCATTCCACACATTTACAACAACTCTGAGCTTTCGGGCCGCCTGCAGCGGATGATCCCGAAAGATCCATTCAGAACAAACGCCGCAGTTTACGCACACAGTTTTACACAACTCACGGGTTGTGCTACGCTGCTACATACAGCACCCTTGTTGTAAAGAGTGTGTAACATCTAGTTTTGGAACATGCATAGTTGGCTCAGCAAAGAGCAATAGGGACACAGGAAACAAGCAAATGTCTGATTACAACATGGAAAATGATGCGCGGCGCTGTGCACAAACAGCCCTTCAGTTGGAAGACAAGCCCAGGATGCTCTACAGTTATAGTTGTATATACTGGCTAATGCTAAGCAATTCACTGGCTCCAAATAATTTGGAGATCCGCCTGTTTTTTCCTCTTCAATCCGAAATCTCCAGAGCGTCAACGGCTGCCGTCCATTTTAGTGATTTGGCCTCTCTAGCTTTCTTTAACATGATTGTAGTATGCTACTTGGAGTGGTGCTTGTTCCTCTAAAGTTTACTCTCGGGTGGCTCACTAAAGGTCTGCTATGTTGTAGTGGTGCCTACCCCTTCTCAATTTTACGGAGATTGGTCACAGAAAAGGTCTGAATTGGCATGTCCTGGGGAGCCCTAGCGGCCTACAAAAGGTCTGCTACTTCTTTTGAAGCCTGCCCACTGCAAGCAGCATGGCATTTCAAGCTGGCCACTGGCCACTTGGAAGAAGCGAAAGCAAAAAAGAAGCAGGAGCAAATGCAAATGCAGAAGCAAAAGCAAAGGCAGAAGCAAAAGCATAAGCAAGACCAAAAGGATCTGCAAAAGCAAAAGCAAAATCAAAAGCAAATGCAAAAGCAAAAGGACATGCAATGCAAAGTTAAACGCATCCAGCAAGCCGGGGTCTTCGCGGGAAAAATGCAACCCTGCGGAGCAGAACAACGACCATGGCCACAAACAAACACAACAACTTGGGATTCCTCTATATATATAATATATATAGTTACTATTGCATGCCTGACTGCTTGAACACTCGTTTTCGGAGTTTTCAGACCCAGCCTCCGACTGAAAAATGAGGCGGGTCAAATGCCATCAGGCTCAACCTCAAGCCTTCAACAACTGCCTTTTGAGCCATGCGACCGACCATCTGTCTCACACACACACAATGCAATCACACAGGCACAAGAACGAACATACTTTACATGTCCGAAATGCACGGGCAGTGCAATAGACATCCAAACACTCTGGAAGTTTTTGGTTGCGCCTAGCCGAGACAAAACCATTGACAAGGTTACTTGCTTGCTACGTTGTGCAAGCCAGGCACAATGCCAGCATGAAAATGTTCATCGCCACAAGGTCTCCAGTCCATTGCTTGGAAATCTCCACACAAGGATGGACAAGTAGAGATAGGATGCCGGCACAGAACCAGAGCAAAGCATTGATTCGGCCAAATGTCCGGTTTCCGAAGCTGTGCCCAACAAAGGTGAAGAATGAGGCGAAGAGGAGGCCACGGAAATTTGTGAAAGCTGCAAAACCAAGCACTTGCAAAGGAAGGCTTGGAAGCAGCATAGTAATATTCCAGGTCAAGCCAAGAAACAGTACCACGAAGAAGGTGAATGCAAAGCCACCTTTCTTTAAGCTCATGTCAAAGAGGCAAACAAAAAGAGTTGATGCTGGAAGTGAGATGGTCAAAATCTGCATGTACACATTCTCATCATCACCCAGACCTTGGAGGAGACTTTTGATTACGCCGAGATATGCATTGCTTCGAAAGACCTGTGTCACCATGAACGTGACGGCAAAGGCAAACTCGATTGTTGGCAGTTGCTGTCTCACTGTTAGGCCATGCAGTCTTGGGCACAGACCTTCTGCTTCGCTGGTAGCCGCTGCAGACTCCTTGCGATTGGCGGCACTGAGTCTGGCACTAGGCGCTCCGTGCCAGCTTACCGCCAAACACATGCTCAGGAGGAAGCACAGCACAGCATAGCCTGAGAAAACCCACTGTCGAGATAGTCCAGCCACATACAGCCGATACAAACCCAAAGGCACTACGGAGGACCCATCCACCAAACAATTGGCGATGGCCATCACAAGAGCAAAGTGACGAGGTGCAACAATGAAAGCAAGCTTCAATGACTGCAGCATCAATGCTGTCCCACCAATGCCACTGATAACAAATGCAAACAAGAGTGTGTCTGCAGCCGCGTTGGGATCACCATTCCCAATGCCCATCAGCAAGAGCCCTGCAGCTTGGAAGACGCCCCCCAATATGCAAAGTGCCACTGGACCGGTGCGATCGATAGCAATTCCCAAGGCAGTACCTGAAGCAAACACCTTACTACTAGAAACAAAAAGCTACTAGAGATCGCTACTAGTAACAAAAAGCTACTAGGGTGGAGGCCATCGCTATTAGGTTGGAGGCCATCATCGCTACTGGTAACAAGAAGAGTAGAGGCCATCGCTATCAGGTTGGAGGCCAAAGGCCATCATCGCTACTAGTAATAAGAAGCTACTAGGATGGAGGCCATCGCTATAAGGTTGAGGACATCATCGCTACTAGGGTGGAGGCCATGGCCATCGCTATTAGGTTAGAGGCCATCATCGCTACTAGTAACAAGAAGCTACTAGGGTGGAGGCCACCGCTACTAGTAACAAGAACCTACCAGTAGCTCCTAGCATTACTACTAGTAACAAGAAGCCACTAGTAGCTATTTGGTGCTAGACATTGTAAAAGGGCCAAGTCGGCACCCTTCCTAGGTTGGTAGGGCCCCTCTGTTGCATACCTCGGGTTACCGTGAAGCTTACAAGGTCAAGCTGTCAAAACCTCATGTAACATACATTAATTGTGTAACTCATATATTATATAGCCAGAGGATAGGAAAATTAGAATATTCATGATTTCTTGTGTTCCATCTCATTCCGCCTTCACAGGCCCCACATCATACAACAATAAGCAAAATAACGTATGTTGCTATATACATATATAATGTAATAATTAATTGTTACTATATGTTTTTTGCAAAGGGGGATAGGCCGCTAGAGGGAGGAGGTAGTAGCCAGGGAGTCGCTAGTAGCTTAACTTAAGTAGCTACTACCGACAGGACGCAGGATAGCTCACGCTTCTTCAAGGAAGCTCCCCCCGCCTGAGGGCGAGGGGGAGCTTCCTTGAAGAAGTGCTAGCACTCTTCTCTCCCTTCAAGGGGGGCTGCAGCGGACGAGCAACATATTTAGGATAATGTAAGCCTCGGCATTGTGCAAGTCCATGCAAGTCCTATATATTATAGAATGTTGAGAGAAGTGTTCTTTGGCTCTGGACAGCTAATCGGCCTAGCCCCCGACGGCATACCACGAGCGACTGTTGAACTATCAGTAACTATCAAAGTCTGCATCTTAGCACCTGAGGCCTGTAACAACGAAAGCAGGGTAGAAGAACGGTGCTGCTGGAGATGCCTGCAAAAATGGTCACTGTATTGTCCACACTGAAGAGGAAGATCATTCGACTCCCGCGGTCTGAGCACAAGGGCTCCTCTTCGGGGCATATCTCCTTGTATACACCGTCCGCTTCGAAAATTGCTTGCATCGCAGCCCAGCCATAGAAAAAATAGGAAAACAGGAATGTTACGGAGCAACCCAGAACAACAGTGATCCATTCTCGAAGGCCAGGTGAATCTTCGCCATTGCAACTTCCCATTGAAGCAAACGCCCGCCCAACACGGTCGGCGGAAAAAAGTTTGAAATCAAAACGGCTCGTGTGCATCTTGAACGAAGCAAAATGTACGGACTGCATGAATGGCCAAAGCATGAACTTCACGAGGCCTCTTGCCCCTCGATTGGTCTGTCAAGCTCTCGACATATATATCTCGACACAAACTACCCAGTCTCAAAGCTAGGTTAATTAAGTATACAGTATATATATATACATACACGTTTACTCTAAACTGAGAGAAGTAAAGTCATGGCGCTCGGACTTTGACTTGCACTCTGCGGTGCCTGAAACAAATGTTCAAGCCTATACACCAATCTAGAAACAGCAACATTAGAATTAGAATCAATTAGAATCACATAGAATCGGTCGCAATCGCAATCTTAAACGACTTCAGATTCAGCGGTGCACCACATGCTGTGCAAAAACTATCTGGAACTTCTGAATGGTGATGCGCAAAGAGAACGAACTCGAGGGGCCATCGCCCTGTCATGGAGAGCTGTCATTCAGGCTGTTGAATCCAGAAAGCCTCAAGAAACCCAGCAAGCCTTCATCTTCCTGCATCCTTCATCAACGATCAACTTGATTTCTGATTGAAAGGGTAGCGCCGCCAAAAGAAGTCCCTCCATTCAATTTTCCCTCTCTCTCCTCGCTGCTGAAGGCCGTTTGTCCAAAAGAGAACGTAAAGGTTGCTCATGCCTGTGGCTCCAGTTGCTCCGCAGTCTTCGATTGTTGAAGGTCTTTTTTGAACTCCAATCCCTCCAGAACACTTTGAAGTTCATCTGGCAAAGGCGCATGGGCCTCGAAGACTTGTGTTAAATCCTGCAAGGTCACCCGAGAGCAATGCAAGAAGAGGCGAGAGCACGGAAGATCGCGCCTTGGACACAGCAGAAAAAGGATCACCTATGTACATAGTTTTGAATAGTGTGTCATGATTCAAAAAGCATGCAGGAAATATCGATCGCATACTGGATCGTATATATAGATACCAGTGGGATTGACACCGCATGTGGGCATCCCCGGGCGTGCCAAATATCAGACTCCAGCCAACTCCAGCAAACAAATTCAGGATCTAGTTACAAAGCCTTGTCCTTCTGTGGCCAAAAGTGGCCAACAGAAGGCAAGCTGGAGACAATGTAGCCTGACTTCAGCGATGCATGTATTTGTAAAAAACAAAAAGGACAAAAAACAACATTGAAATACACTGGCCAATGACCAATGACTATAATGACTAATGGACTTTGAGGATGTGACATCCGGATGCAGGTCACCTGGCCCCGCCAGGCGTCGGTGTCTCTTTGCTTCCTGGTCTCGCTCTCTCTCCCTCTCTCTCGATTAGATGATGCCGCCAACAAGCTTTGATCCGTAGCTTCTGTCTCCAACAATTGGATAAGCCAAGCTGGCCATATGAACCTCAGCGACACTCACAAACTGCAACCGAGCCCTTCTCTCTTCTTTCTCCTCCTATGTGGAAATAGAAATGTTCGCCCCTAGCCGATCTCACAACGTGGAGAACACAGCTATGTTAAAATGATTTACAATGAATATATTTTAGCAGCCGCAGCCCAATCTGACGGTGAATCGGTGAACCCTGTATATACGTATAAAGAAGTATAGATATATATACCTTTGATGCCTTTATATATGTGTTCTATCAAATCCTTTTTGCAGTGCTCACTGCTCACTTACAATATGATATATATATATATGCATGTATTGTATACATATATCCACACTCTTCCTTAATGATTATCTTGTGGGCTGAAAGCACCAATGTTGGTGTGGTTGAGAGGAGTGTTGAGTTGTGAGCCAACACTCGTTGTCACACCACATCAGACTCATTGCGTACCATTTAAGGTCTATATAAAGGACGTATGTCCGTCGCATAGCATCACTATAAAATACTCCGGGGAAAAACAACATAGACCAGAACTCAATTTCAAGTGAGCCTCCACCGGGCTATGTTGACCTCTAAGGCGCGGTCTATGTTAGCCTGCGTTCAGTTTATAGTCAGATTGCAATCGATCATAGACTGAGAGTCGGAACGGTCCATGTTAGTGAGGGTCCAGAAATGGCCAAAAAAAGCGCTAATACCGTTACACAGGAAGTCACCGTTTCCAGTGGTCGGTCCATGTTAAAGGTCTAGGTTAGTCTCAACGGTGTCCGCTCGGAAACTAGACTAACATATGCCAATGTTTTTTGCGAAAATGTTAGTTTTCACCGGTGTAGTATTATCTAATTGTCATATGAAATGCGTGATGTGTTTCTCATTGCCCAACTCCTACCTGGCTATACCTGGCTCATCTTTCCTTTGTTGCAAAGGTTCCTTTCCCAAGACCATGCTGGGATGGGCATGAAACGATTCCATGACATCAGCTGTACATATATAATGTTTACCATTCCCCTAGTACGCTAACTCAGTCTTGAGGCGCCATCTGTGAGTTAGAAGCAATAGTTCAACTGCTGCTGACAGGGAACTCGTATCTGGTGTGTTCGCCCAGTCAAAGGTTGAACAGCGAGAAGGCTCAACTCCAGCATTGCTTGCTTCCAAGTGTAGAGAGCCTCGACCTGTCCACAGTCTAGCAGCGCTAGGCTGAAAACATCCGCAAACAATGCTTCAAATAACATCCAGGTACGCCTTTTCCTGCATTGCAATGTCTACAGTAAAGTAAATTGTGAGACAAATTGTGATTCATGACACCAAGATCCCATATAAGCGCTGCAAAGAAACGTGCAGAAAGTATGGAGTGGAATGTTAAAAAACAGAGTCCTGGCCCTGGCCTTGTATTGTGTACACGCATCCCGCCCGAGCTTTGATACCCGTGTCCGCATCTTATCACCTTAAGCACAGCACAGCCAAATGTAGAGACAAAATCCCTACCCTTAGTGTTAGTGCATGAGTGATGGGATGTAAGTTAGTGTACATATTTCAGGCCACTCAAAGGAGAAACTGTAAGAATAATGTAAGTTACACTTTTCAAGGTGGCTGGCAACTGTTCCTCATTCTTCATGCCTTTCTTTGTGTCTTCTTTTCTTCCTTAAGGCCATTCTTCCTCTTCAATATTCATGTCTTTCATTCTTTCTCCCTTTCTTTCTAGTTACCATTTGACCGTAGGGGCCTTGCATGGACGTCTCATTGACGGGTTTTCCAGTATGTATCTCTAGCTATCCGGTTTCAATATTAACATATGTATAATATGTGTATATATATACATATGCCTTTTAGATTTATAGCTGCAGCTGCATACCACTGCATTAGAGACCTCCGACAGTCTGTCTGGCTTCCTCTGTTTCTTCCCTTCTTTCCTTTGAACTCTTCTTTTTCTTTTCGTTCTTTTTTGCTTTCTTCTTCCTTTCCTAGTTGCAACTTGGCCATGAGGAAGTTGCATGGTTGCTTTATAGACGGTTCTTCATTACAGTATGCTATCTAATTTCCATATGATGCTTCCTTTAGATTTTAACTAGTAACACCATACCACGGCTTTAGAGCCCTGCAGCAGTCTAGAGTCTAGCTTACATTTGTTGTGTGGTGCTGACTGTTATTCCATACTTTGCCATATGTTTCCTTTCTTTATATAAACTTCGACTCCATATATACAACTTTTCTAGAGGCCTCCACCAGCTTACATTGTTGTGCGTTTCCTTCCTTCCCTCATTTGTGGCTTTCTTTTCCCTTTTAAGAACCGATGGCTCTTTCTTCAAACATACCTGGTCACGTATTGCTGCCGCTGCATCGGCTGTGTTCATTCCCAACCAAACAAAGTGGGTGGCTCTCTTTGCCGGGCGCTGAACAAAGCATATACTGCGCAGAAACTTTGGCTCTACGTATGGCTGTCATGATCACCCAAGGTGACATTTCAATAGCTAGTGATTGCCTCAATGCAATTAATTAGATCCCTTCGCAAATTGAGGCACTTTGGAGGCTTTGTTCCCAACCATTCTTGGTCATCGTTGCGTTGCCTTTATCAAAGTTCGGGCTCATGTGTCCATTGACCTTCTCGCGCAAGATGTGTTTTGACACGCAGCAACGCTGAGGCTGACTGGTGAGCCAAACAAGCTTCTAATGATGTTGAGAACCTTTTGGGTCGTCACCTCCCTTTCTTCTTGCGAAGCTGTTGCGATCCAAACACACCTTGTATCTACCTTGGCTCGAAGGGCCGAAGAGTGTTTCCTAGCTCCTTCTATCGAAGATCCGGCTTGCCGTGCGCGTTCTTGTGCGCCGGCCTTCCGGGAAAGAGGGAAAACAACATGCACACATTGTTGTCCTATAACTCAGCTTGCCTTGCCTGTGTTGAAACTTCCTTGTCACCAAGTGTGAGGGCGCTGATCTGGCGCTGTTTTCGTCCCTTCGAGCGAAGTTTCCCTCTCTACATGCCCTTTTTAGCAACCGAACCGATCATGTGTCCTTCTCCCTGCAATATCGTTTGCCGGTGTTGCTCATGAGAGACAAAGGTTCTCATCTGCTGTTCTACAACCCCTTTATGAATACTTCGGTAGGTTGAAGTTGCACTTTGGTGGCAAACACAGTGTCACCAGTTTTCGACTTTGTTGCTGCTTTTTCGGGTAACCAGTTGCTATCAGGTGACTTGACTCTTCATGAAGCCACCTGATCCACCCGATTGCGTGGGTGACTGGCATGAATGGAGCGGCAAAAAAGACAGGCGTCCACACTTTTTGTCGAATTGTTACATGTTTGCACTCACCTCGCCTCACCACCCCTCAAAAACAAGGCGAACATTTAAGTTACATTTCCACATGTCACCCAACATTTTTTGAGACAAACATAGACAAACTGTGACAAATCCGCCGACCCCTGCTTTGGCGAAGGCAGGGGCGGCGCCTGGGACCACCGAAGGTGTGGAACCTGAGCTCTCCAAATCCTTGCTTTTCTGGGCCCGAAATCAAACGCGCCAAAACTTCGCAGTTGCCAGACTGTGGGCGCAGTTGCCAGACGGTGGGCTCTGGGCTCTGGCCCGCCAAATCCTTTTTTTCTAGTGGCCCGAAACTGCCCTTCAAACCCCTCAAACCCCCCGAAACTTGCCACCAATAGTTCTGCCGTACTGGCGGTTGGAGCAGCCAGCTTCTGGATGCTGGACGCTTCAGACGCTCCAAAACCTCGCACTTGCTAGACTGTGGGCTCTGGGCTCTGTGCCAGACTGTGGGCGCAGTTGCGCAGACTGTGGGCTCTGGGCTCTGGCGCGCCAAATCCTTTTTTTCAGTGGCGCGAAACTGCCCTTCAAACGCCTCAAACCCCTCAAAGCCTCAAACCCCTCAAACCCCCCGAAACTGGCCAATGGTTCTGCCATACTGGCAGTTGGAGCAGCCAGCCTGCCAATGGTTCTGCCATACTGGCAGTTGGAGCAGCCAGCTTCTGGATTCTGGACGCTTCAGACGCTCCAAAGCTCTGGCGCGCCAAATCCTTTTTTTCTAGTGGCCCGAAACTGCCCTTCAAACGCCTCAAACCCCTCGAAACTTGCCAATGGTTCTGCCATACTGGCCGTTGGAGCAGCCAGCTTCTGGATTCTGGACGCTTCAGACGCTCCAAAACCTCGCACTTGCTAGACTGTGGGCTCTGGGCTCTGTGCCAGACTGTGGGCGGAGTTGCGCAGACTGTGGGCTCGGGGCTCTGGCGCGCCAAATCCTTTTTTCTAGTGGCCCGAAACTGCCCTTCAAACGCCTCAAACCCCTCAAATTCCCCTCAAACTTGCCAATGGTTCTGCCATACTGGCCGTTGGAGCAGCCAGCTTCTGGATTCTGGATGCTTCAGACGCTCCAAAGCTCTGGCGCGCCAAATCCTTTTTTCTAGTGGCCCGAAACTGCCCTTCAAACGCCTCAAACCCCTCAAACGCCTCAAACCCCCCGAAACTTGCCAACGGTTCTGCCATACTGGCAGTTGGAGCAGCCAGCCTGCCAATGGTTCTGCCATACTGGCAGTTGGAGCAGCCACCTTCTGGATTCTGGACGCTTCAGACGCTCCAAAGCCTCGCACTTGCTAGACTGTGGGCTCTGGGCTCTGTGCCAGACTGTAAGCCTGCCAATGGTTCTGCCATACTGGCAGTTGGAGCAGCCAGCTTCTGGATTCTGGACGCTTCAGACGCTCGCTCTGGCGCGCCAAATCCTTTTTTTCTAGTGGCCCGAAACTGCCCTTCAAACGCCTCAAACCCCTCAAACGCCTCAAACCCCTCAAACCCCTCGAAACTTGCCAATGGTTCTGCCATACTGGCAGTTGGACCAGCCAGCTTGTGGATTCAGGACGCTTCAGACGTTTCAAAACCTCGCAAATGCTAGACTGTGGGCTCTGGGCCCTGTGCTAGACTGTGGGCGCAGTTGCGCAGACTGTGGGCTCTGGGCT